CTATAAATGAGATATTTTAAGTGGAACATATAGTTTATTATATATATTTTAATTCTACTTTTAGGGGAAAAAGGAAATATTTATACAGTATAGACCTACTGAAAAAAAAGTCTGGAGGGATGTATTTCAATCTGTTAACAGTGGTTAGCTCTGGGCTAGGATTATGACAAAAAATTTTTTTTGTTTTAATTTAAATGAATTGCATGGCCAGCATGGCTTAATGGTTGAGTGTCAACCTATGAATCAGGAAATCACAGTTTGATTCCAGGTCAAGGCACCTGCCCAGGTTGCAGGATTGACCCCAGTAGGGGGCATGCAGGAGGCACCCAATCTATAATTCTCTCTCATCATTGATGTTTCTGTCTCTCTCTCTCCCTCTTTCTTACCCTCTGAAATCAATTTAAAAAACAAACAAACTATTTTTAAAAAATAAATAAAAATAAACACTGAATTATTTTTATTTTGTCCAATTTAATATGATTTTATGCTCAAGGGGACTTGGTTATTTCTTCATCAAATAGAAAAGAAAGTGGAGGAGAGACAGTTAAGATGGTTTTCATACACTGAATGTTTGTGTCCCCCAAAATTTATATGTTCAAGCACTAATCCCCAATATGGTAGTATTTCGAGTTGGGATCATTAGGAGGAAATTGATTTTTAATGACATTATGGGAGGTGGAGTTCCCATGATATGATTGATGCCCTTAAAAGGGGATAAAGAAACAAGAGCTGTCTCTAGCCATGTGAAAATACAGTGAGAAGGTGGTTGTCTGTTAGTCAGGAAGAGGGACCTCACCCAAATCTGACCACATTTCAGCCTCCAGAACTCTGAGAAAAAAACACAAAAAACATTTGTTGTTTAAACCACCCAGTCTATAGGCCAAACTGACTAAGATAATGAGATTCATGGTGAAGTAACTTTGAAGAAATGTTTTTCAGGATAGATAAGACTTGAGCTTGTTTTAGGCCCTGGGAAAGAAGCCAATGTGGGAAGAGATTTGGGAGGGTGAGGGGAACATTAACCAGCCAAAGTCCCAGAGGGGCTGGAACAGTACACAAGTGTCAGGGCTAACTTTAGAAAGAAGGAAAGGACAAAAGGTCAACATAAATGAAGTTAGGAAATCCTTTTGAAGAGCGAAACAAAAGGTATTAAAACTATTGAACTCATGTGTTTTCCCAATGAATTGGGGGAAAAGATTATCATTGGAGTAGGAGGGCAGGGACTGGGAGCTGGAGGGGTATAGAAGAGGTATATTGCTGCTGCATAGAATGAAATAGGCATGATATTCTTGATATTTATCCCAGATCTACCAAATCATCATCTCTGAAGGCGGGTGATCCTAATGCACACTAAAAATCTGGAACCTTTGAAACAAAAGGTTAACTAAGGATATGGGGCTGATGCTGATGCTAGATCACAATTGTTTGAAAGAGTCAATTAATTCATTTGTATGATTTTCTCCAGCATTATTGAGAAAAATCAATAGCTGGATGTACTCAGAGTTGGGCTTTGGGAATGTGAGTGTAGAAGTTAAGTCGGTGGGTGGGTCAATGGAACTTGAGATTCTGGTAACTGCATCATTAACTTGGGTAATCACAATGTAAGAACAGGGTGGAGAGAGAGGAGTTGAAGTGGAATTTATGAGGAGGATGTAAAGCAGATTTCTAAAAGGGAGTGGGTGAAATGCAAGAACTGTGTTTTGGTCAGTGAGATGTGTCCTGGTGTAAAAGATTTTGAAAAGGAGATGGTGACATAGTCCCAATAGTGGCTATCGAAGGAGCTTCTGAACTACTAGAGTGGAGATAAAGTTGATCCAAGTAAAAGAGGTCAGAGTGTGAAATGGTCATCCTTATGAACATCAGGTTTGTTGGATCCAATAGGTGGAGGCGAAGGTGGTACTCAAGACCAAACCAGATAGTGAAGAAGAAAATGTTAGCGTCAGGGAGAGTGAAAAAAAAACAACAACTGACTGTTGTTTGAAGATAGAATAAAAGTAACAATAAATATTTCATTGTTCTCTACCTGAGCATGAAATGTTCAGCCTCTGCTCTCTTCAAACTCTTTCCCTAAGTAACCTCATCTTTATTCACAGGTTTAATTATCACCTCTATGTGCACACAGACCTTCCTTCTGAATCCAGATCTGTATCATTTCCTACTTGACATCTATCAGAAAGCACCAAAGAGCCCCTGAGGTTCACCTTGCACAAGCAGAGTTCATGATCTCCCACTGCAATCCTGGTCCTCTTCCAGTTTGTTCTCCCATTGCTCAGCACCTCCTCCCCACAAGCCAGGATGAGTCAGCAATCAACCTTGATGACTCCTTTCCCCCCCCCCCATCTTCTATATCCAACCCATCAAACTTCCAATCCTATATAATAAAAGCCTAAGATGCTAAATGTCCAACAATCCTTTTGACGATTTGACCAGTCACTATGACAGCACTGACCAAAGGGGGAAGGTGCTCTGACTGGTAGATTAGCTTGCTGCTGGGGTCTGGCCAATGGGGGACTAGGCAGGATGAGCTAGACACGCCCTGGAGCCCTCCCCTGCTGGCCAATCTTCCTTGGTCCCTCCCCAACCTCTAAAATATTTCTTATAATTAATTTCCTTTCAATGTGCACAAATCCATGCATCAGGCCTCTAGTTTAAGATATAAAGAACTCTTGCCGAAACTGGTTTGGCTCAATGGATAGAGCGTTGGCCTGCGGACTGAAAGGTCCCAGGTTTGATTCCAGTCAAGGGCATGTAACTTGGTTGTGGGCACATCCCTGGTAGGGGGTGTGCAGGAGGCAGCTGATTGATGTTTCTTTCTCATCAGTGTTTCTAACTCTCTCCCTTCTCTCTGTAAAATAAATAAATAAATAAATAAATAAATAAATAAAATTAAAAAATTAAAAATTCAATAAAATATATATATTTTTAAAAAGAACTCTTGAATCATTCTATTTCTCTCCATTGTTACATTCACTACCCAGTCCTAGATTTTTGTAATACCCCACCCACAATGGGCCCACCTATACCCCCAGGAGGCTCCCTCCAATCCCTCTCCACCTCACTAGCCAGGATGATCTTTCCAAAATGTAAATCTGTTGGTGTCATATTTCTGCTTAAACCACCTCAAAGACTTATTATTGGGTTTAGCCCTATAAACATGATTTACAAGTCTCAGTAAGGTCTGAGCCCTGCCCACAGCCCCAGGCTCATTTTTGCACCACTCCTTCACTGGGAGCCAGCTGCAATGGCTTTGTTTCATTCTTAGATAGGCATCATTCTATTTCCACCCCAACTCCCAAGGTCTTTCTACATGTTCTTCCTGCCCTACTACCTGTCACTGGTTACCCCTACGCTCCTTTTGATCTCAGCCAGGCATGATTTCTTTGGAGGAGCCATCAGAGATCTCTCCAACAAGGTCAAATCTCCCTGTTACAGTCCTTCATATTCCCCAACTTTATGGCATACATCTCAGTTGTGATTTCACATATTTCTGTATGTTTGATTATTTCACTTACATCTGTCTCCCTCACTAGACTCTTTTGCTCATGACAGCCAAGAACCCTCTGTGTTGTTGCTAAGTACAGGCAGGGCGTGACACATAATGAATATGCCATAAATATTTCTTAGATGAGTGAATGAAGAGATCAAAAACCACCTCTGTCTGATATTAGCTATAGTCGCAGTAATAAAGTTTTGTTTCTCATGTCCATCCTTGGGTCTTGGGAATAGTGTGGTCATAATGGACCCTTCTAAGTAATGATATCCACGATAGCTTAACCAGCAGTTTAAGCCAAAATGCTTTATTCTTGTCATGGCTCCATAGTGGTGTGCCCTCAGACAAGATAAGCATTTTTTTTAGCCCTAAACTCTGTGTTTTACCTACAGATCAGGTGTCTCCTTTTACCTTTGAACTTTCAAGAGCTGTTTCTCCAAACCTCTCCTTCCCTTCCAGCCTGTCTCCCCAGCAGGAGATGACTGCTGGCCTCCTGCAAAGGTAGGGGAGGTCCCAAAACTGAGCCAGCTCCTCTGTGGGAGGGTTGAGAGGAAGCGTGGGACTGCCTTTGTATTCAGAAACAACTGCTGGATTCTATTTCTTCAGACAAACTTGTTTTGAAAAGAACAAGACTTGAATATTTGATATGACAAGGAGCTAGTTCTAAACTGTTGTCTGAAAGGATATAATTCATCAAACCAAAAACCTAGGAGCCTAATATAGGTGTATTTACCCCCTTTCTTGTTTAATTGGGCTCCTATATATTCAGATTGCTCTCTTTCTGCTTCAGTGACGTCTAAGCAATCTGAGTTTTCAGCTGCTGTTGTTTATTTTCTAGATAGTTCGCCTAAATAGGTCCTGGAAAGTGAAAAGGAGAAACTTGGTTTTCAAACTGGAATGTTTCTTCAGAAGAAGCTCAGCAAGTTGCCTTCTCCACCTTTCTGATTCTTGGATCCCTAACTCTCCTCGGTAGATGAAGTGCAGTTTCAGACCCCATCCGGTGCTATAGACTTGCAGAGTGAAACTTGTCATGGTGTCTCTGTATGTTAATTTCTCCATCCCTAGAATGGACGCAATGATTCTTACCAGTCTCAGGGACACATCATTAAATCACGGAAATGATGTCAGAGGAAAATAAGGATGACTCATCTCGCAGAAAGGCATAGCTATACTTTCTTTGTGTTCCTCAACGTGCATGAAAATCTCGTTCAAAAAAGAAGTATTCGTACCTGAGTTGACGGCTCCAAGTGCACCGCAACCACCCACTTCCGAATAGGAGTAGAAAAATGCGAACCATTTCTGTGTGCCATTGTGTAACACAGAAATCTCTGGCCTGGAGCCCAACGCTGTGGTTTGGCAACATAATCAGCACATCTCTTTTTTCATCTCTTGAAGAAAAAGAAAAAAAGAAAAAAAAAAGCAACACACACAACCCAACAGAGAGAAAGCACCTTGAGCATAAAGGTAATGATTAATCCACCAGGCACAAAAAAAGGATAAAAAGAACCTTTTGGGATTTCAAAGGTTTTAACTCACTAACTTAAAGAAATAGCAGTGAACAGGGAGTGACAATTTCCCCAGGAGAGGATTAAGTCACGAGCTGTAATTGGGACAGTGCGGAGTCAAATAATCTTATCAGAGATCTCCAGGTATTTATGAGAGGTTGTCAAAACTTCCTTTTACATGTGCGAGTGAAGTAGGGAGCAGAAGAAGCAGGTTCTGGTGGAAAAAGTGGTCCTTGGAGAAGCCGCACGATGCAGCCAGAGAAGCAATGGAGGAAGAAAAGCTTCAAGCAGAGACTGGCGTTGAAGAGCAGTTTGGCTAAAGAAACACTCTCCGAGTTCTTGGGCACGTGTATAATGATCGTGAGTATTTCCTGATTTTCAGATTTCCAAATCTATGCCTCCCTCTCAACCTAGTTCCTGGGGGAGACTTTTGTTTTGGTTTCTTTAAGTTTGTCAGTAGATTTATCTCTTCCGGGAAGCAGCAAGTTACTTACAGGCTGTGTAACTACTTAGAGGTTTCAATAATAGGTTCCCATTTACTCGTTTCATTTATTCACAAGACTTGGTGGGAGTGGAAGAGGAGGGAGCTTGAAGTACTGTTTTAATTTACTGGGACCTTAAGGTGGCCTTGTAATTAATGTTAGATATGAGAATTTTTTTTTCATTGACTCATTGATTTATACCCTGTTTGTTTCACACAAATATTGGGGTGACTCAGTCACTTGAAATAAGTATTGACAGCCAATAAAGATGGGTGATAAAAAACAGTTCATTATTGTGTTGGTAGATCATTTGACTCTTAAATTAAAAGTTGCACAAGACAGAAACAGTGCACTCTGGGCACTAGCCTAGCTTTGGCGTTGCACCATTTCTCCCTCTAACTCAAGCTAATTACTAAAGAGCTTTAATTAGACAATTACAAGAACCTTCTATTTATATATATAGGAAGAGCTGATTCTAAACTTCTTGAGGATTTTATCTAGAGATTCCCATGGCTATTAATAAAACATTAGAAAGTTTACTAACGTAGTATAGGCTCTAGGTTTTTATTCTGTTGCCTGTTTTCCCATTCTCTGGACCCTGAATTTTCAGTTGGAGCCAGACCATTTGTTTTGGGGGGTTTTGTGTGTATGTGTGTTTTTATTTTATTTTTTTATTTTTTATCTTTTATTTATTTTTATAAAATATTTTTAATTGATTTTTTACAGAGAGGAAGGGAGAGAGATAGAGAGCTAGAAACGTTGATGAGTGAGAAACATCAACCAGCTGCCTCCTGCACACCCCCCACTGGGAATGTGCCCGCAACCCAGGTACATGCTCTTGACCGGAATCGAACCCGGGACCCTTCAGTCCGCAGACCAACGCTCTACCACTGAGCCAAACCGGTTTCGGCTGTATGTGTGTTTTTAAATCTTCACCTGAGAATAGTTTTCCATTGACTGTAGAAAGAGTGGAGGAGAGAGGGAAAGACAGAAATACTGATGTGAGAGAAACACATCCATAGGTTGCCTCCTGCACTCGCCCAGATCCTGGGCGGAGCCTGCACCCGAGGTATGTGCCCTTGACAGGAATCAAACCCAGGATCATTCAGTCTGCAGGCAGACACTACTCTATAACTGAGCCAAACCCATGGTGCCAGACCATTTGTGAACAGAAAATTAAATCTTTGATTATTCAACTGTGTCAATATAAAGATCTAATTGGCTTTATGAAGTGATTCATAACTTGGGCAGCATCCCATCTTAGCAACTAGAAGGTGAGGGGGAGGGATCCAAGGATTATACAGAAAGAAAGGCTTTATAGACAGAAAGAGGTAACTCTAATTAGAGTGGATTAATTCAGGATTAATTAATTTGATTATTCTCGTGTGTAGCAACTACTGATTTTAATTTGTTTTTAAAAATAATCTGCTCAAGGATTCCTTACTCCAGATACAAATTTTATTTTTCTTAAGGTAATAGAGAATTGCTCATAAACTTTGTACATTAAAATTTATTTGGTAAGGAAAAATATAGTTGATAATACTGTATTGTCTATTTGAAAGTTGTTAACTAGATCTTAAAACTTATAAGAAAAAATTATAAAACTATGGTGATAAATGTTAACTTATTGTGGCGATCATTTCACAATATATACAAATGTCAAAATATTAGGTTGTGCACCTGAAACTACAATAATATAATGTTATATGTCAATTATACCTCAATTTCTAAAAAATATTTGCTTTGGGTAAATACATAGTAATTTAGGAGAATAAGCCAAAATTGAGAAATGAATGTGAACTTGGGGATGTGAGTCATTTTTTCTGGTCTCTGATAGCTTCTTTTTTTTTTTTATCTAATTCACCCAAGTATGTTAAAGGCGTTAGGGATGATTTTTTGTATTGCTTCTGGGCTGTCCTTACCCACATGATTGGGTAAAGGAGATTGTGAAAGAAAAGAGTCAAAGCCCAGGATTCTTTTGATTTTAGTTATTGCTTTCTGGAAAATTGTGCTCAAGGAGATAGACATCCTCAGGTCAGGGTCACCTTATAATTGACAATTTGGTCCCAAAGAGGAGAGTGGTTGTCATCCCTGACTTCTCACAGTAACCTTGCTTCCAGAGAACGTGAAGCAAGTTCTGTTACAACTCTTGAGTGTTCTGAAGAGTAGGAAGTAAACACCCATTTTGTAACCAAAAAAGTTAAAACTCTTATTTCTTAACAAGAACCTGTTTCATAATCCCATCCAGGCTAGGTTAAGTAAGTGAAAATTGCTTTCAGCCATTCACTATTCTACTGTTAAAAATCAAACACAAATCCAACTGTGTCAATATAAAGATCTAATTGGCTTTATGAAGTGATTCATAAATTGGGCAGCATCCCATCTTAGCAACTAGAAGGTGAGGGGGAGGGATCCAAGGATTATACAGAAAGAAAGGCTTTATAGACAGAAAGAGGTAACTCTAATTAGAGTGGATTAATTCAGGCAAGGCCCATTTCTTTAGGGTAAGGCAGGGTGTTATTAGGAGGGTTTTATATAAAAAGAAAGGATTATTTTTGGGTCCAGACGTCTTTGGAGGGAAAAGAAGGGAAGGGTTTTAACATGCAAATTACCTCTTTCTATGGGTTAGGGACAATGGAGAGGGCCCACAGCATAGATCCTTACTGGTGCTAGGCCAGAAAATTTCAGAGTGGTTGATTAAAATTATGTTTCTGGAGAGGTTGAAACTGCAATTAAACCAGGTATGAAATCTAGTTTAGGTATCATGACTTCCAGCACAAGTGACCATTTTGGGCCTGTGGTTTTCTGTTTAAAAACTACTCCTACAGCCCTGACTGGGTGGCTCATTCACTTGGAGCGTTGTCCCATAAAGCCAAAATTCTCTCCTCTTCTTATACTACTACTACTACTACTTCTTCTTCTTCTTCTTCTTCTTCTTCTTCTTCTTCTTCTTCTTCTTCTTCTTCTTCTTCTTCTTCTTCCTCTCCTTCTCTCTTTCTCTCTCTTTCTCCTCCTTCCTCTCTCTAAAATCAATAAACACATACCTGTGGGTAAGGATTTAAAAAAATTAAATTAAAAAAACACCACTCATACTCCTAGCAGTCTCTTTCCCTAGCATTCAAGAGGGGAGCTAAAAAAATAATATCTTACTATTTTATGTTGGAAAATTAACCAATCCATTCCTGAAAAGCTTGATTTCCATCTATATTATACACTTGTTTATTTATTTGAAATATATTTTTATTGATTTTAGAGAGGAAGGGAGATGGAGAGAGAGATAGAAACATCAATGATGAGAGAGAATAATTGATTGGCTGCCTTCTCCACACCCGTTACTGGGGATCGAGCCCACAGCCCAGGCATGTGCCCTTGGCTGGAATCGAACGTGGGACCCTTCAGGCCATAGGCTGATGCTCTATCCACTGAACCAAACCAGCTAGGGCTGCACGCTTATTTAAAGCAAACCCTGATGAAATCTATGATAGTGATTACAAGCTCCAATTTTGTTGAGGCCTGTGGGGATGTACAGACAAGTTGCCACACCAACGCAATTACTTCTTAATCCATAAATCTATATTGTTTTGCTCAAAGAGTTCCAGAATAGTTGTCTCTGCTGTATTAAAAAATGTTCATTTTGCCTTGTTTTCTCTGGTAAAAAGCTCTGCATTCTGATAAGGCAGGGAAAGGAAGCCTTAAACAGATGGCAGAGGATGTTCAGGACTCCTTAGTGCTTCAGGTTTGTGAAGCTGGTTCCTCTTCCTTCTCCACCAAACTCTCCCACTCTGGGAGTTTGGGGCCATTTCCCCCACCAAAACCAACACAAAACCAAACAAAATGCTCTTTGGGGAATTCATGTCACTTAAAACTCACTCATGTCATGGTGTAAATGACTAATAAGGCCCACTGGTAGCATTAAGGGAAGGGATGGCCCATGAGAAATTCTTGGTAAACTACAGCTAAAAACAATAATGACATCACAAGCCAAGGAATTAGCTTGAATTTGGCTTTTTAGGTATTAAGATAGGTAGGTCTTCTTGCCTTTGCTAATGTCGGGAAGGAGGTCTTATTATCACCCATCAACAGTTGGAGAAATGAAAACTCAAAGAGATGAAATAACTGGCCCAAACCAGAAAAGCAGTAAACTGGAATTCTTTTTTTATTCTAGAACCTAGAGCCCATTGTTGGAACTATTTTAGCGATCTCCTTGGTAGATACTAAGACTCCCTCTGCTTTAACAGATTAGAGCCATAGCTTGCTTGAGGGCATGCGAGTTGGTCAAAGGCATGTAAGTTTAAACCTGTAAGCACTTGAGACCAGATTGTTAGTTATGCCCAGAAGCCAAAGTCTTTACTTTCTTGGAAGCTGAAAAGACTGTACAGTGCAGGTAGAGAGGTATTAAGTGAAGGTAGAGCCCAGGCCTGTGCATGTGAGTTCATGGTCTGGTGATTTCAAACTACAATAATCTTAAAAACACTATATGTGAAGTTCCTGACACCAGAAACACTTATTCAATTCCATTTCCTTTCCCCCTTTCTCACTCTTTCCCCTTCTGCTGAGAATCCTTGTAGTAGTTGAAAACAACTGCTTTGTCTTCTCCTGGCCAAAATCTTGCAGGCTTCTTTCTCCAGCATCTGCCACAGAATTCTGCTCATACATACTAGTAAATGGGAGCCCATACATATGTGTTGAATTTAATTTTTTTTTCCTGAATATTCTAGAATCTCTAGTTATTTCTCGTATGTTCACTCCTTGCTATTCTATGTGTGCTCTTCTCTCTTTAAACATTTCAGCATTCTTTGACACAGCTCATCCTCTTGAAGATGCTGAGAAGAATAGTCCCGCAAGCAGACATGTGGCCTGCGGTAGGAGGGCACCCTT